TATGAAAACATCATATTCATCATAGTATGACAACATAATGACAACATTACTTGTTTCTTAATAATTATTAATATTATTATAATTTAACTTAATTTTTGGTGCTGATTCCAAAAATAGTGCCTGTTTTGCTCTAGTCACACTTTCTCACAAAATATGACATTTCGTAGCATTTTCGCCTTTGACAACTATTTGTAAGATGAACAAGTCTTGTATTATCCTTTTATTAACTAGAAAACCTGCCACGAGACATGACATGATTCCTATACTCCTCTGACCCAGGTTACATTTATTTGTTCACTTCTCATTTTCACGTTTGAATGATTCTGAAGACATTATTTTATGCCTAATCCTGATTTACACATTTTATTTTCGAACCCCTTGCAACTTATTGCATAAGTTAATACGTCATTAAAACCAAAACTTTTGACTTCTGATGGCTTTGTTTATTTGATAAATGCATTATAGCTGATACATACAGTTGAAGTCAAAAGTTTTCATACACCTTGCAGAACCTGCAAAATGTTAATTATTTTACCAAAAGCCGGGGGGTGAAAACCTTTGAACAGAATGAAGATGTGTACATTTTTCTTATTTTGCCTAAATATCATATTTTTTTCATTTAGTACTGCCCTTCAGAAGATACTTACATGTTTCCTAGAAGACAAAATAAGTTACATTTACCCTGATCTTCAAATTCAAAAAGTTTTCACTCCCTGGCTCTTAATGTATTGTTTTTCCTTCTGGAGCATCAGTGAGCGTTTGAACCTTCTGTAATAGTTGCATATGAGTCCCTCAGTTGTCCTCAGTGTAAAAAGATGGATCTCAAAATCATACAGTCATTGTTGGAAAGGGTTCAAATACACAACAATGCTGGAAAACCAAACAATTTGTGGGACCTGAAGGATTTTTCTTAAGAACAGCAGGCAGTTTAACTGATTAGGACAAACAAGGGACTTGTGAACAACTATCACTAAACAAAAAAACACATCTGTGGATCATTCCGGTAACAACACCGTATTAAGAATCAAGGGGATGTAAACTTTTGAAAGGGGTCATTTTTATAAATTCAACTATTAATTTCTCTTGTGGACTATATGAAACTACATCTTTTATGTGAAATATCTTATTCAGGTCAGTACTAAATCACATGCATTTTGTATGATCCCTCTTATTTTGGTAAAATAATTAACATTTCGCAGATTCTGCAAGGTGTATGTAAACTTTTGACTTTACATGTACTTTTCAACTGTACATGTATTGAATTTTGTGAAGAAAAAAAAACTGTACATGATGGAAAGTTTTTGTTGATATTTTTTAACTCAGCATCATCAAATTAGGAATTACCAGAAATTAGATAACTAGAATAATTTTTTATAGATGAGGGACTTTAATTATGCCGACAGACACAGACCTTTCGCAGAAGGTGTGCAGGCAGGGCAGGACTTTGGGGTTGTGGTAGTGGTCCAGACAGATACTACACACCAGGAACTGCTTGTCTATCTGGCGGACCACTGGACTTGTGCGGCCGGTCTCAAACTTCGCCATGGTGACAGACATCCACAGAGGGGGCCTGGGGCCAGGACACACCTAAACCTGAAATAAAGAAGATGCTATGTTACCGAAAAACCCCACAATGCTTCACCATTTTAACTTTGAAATGATGGAAAAGCTCATAGTATGGCACGAGAAGACAACCTCCAATATGAAGAGGAACACATGAGAGTGAGACGACAGGTGACGCCTGCCGAGCTGCTACCAAAGCAGTAGCTTTAATACAGGAAAATAACTCTTATTCTGCAGGCCAAAGAACACACTGTATTTCATCAGAAGAGAGGAGCGTGGAAAATTGGATTATGGGGTTGGGGAGGCAAATAGATGCTGTCAAATTTCATGCCACTTTTCCAGATGAGACACAGCAACAGCGGGCTGATAAGTACTGATACAAGGACATGAACTACTGCTGCGGCCATTACTAGCTCCTGACGGTGGTGGTACATGCTGAGCCAATTTTTACTTTAGTTGTCCTCTAGGCGAAGAGATATGAGACCGAGGTAAAACTAGTAATTCGGGATTAATTCTATTTCAGGATGTTAAAGAAAATTGCCTAACATAGAAACATAGAACATAGTCCTTTCAAAGGACTAAAATTAACATAAATGAGATAAATCTAAATTAAACATGCTAATGCACAATTCCATTTTGCTGTGCACACTATATAGTGAAACATAATAGTAAATGTACTGAAACTATTTAACATTTTGTAATAGTATTTCCTGCATTTGGAAGCAAAATCATTATGATCCAGTCCACTGACACATCATGTATCAACATATCTGACACACTTTACCCCACAGCTACCATTTTTTGAATAAATGGTCTGATTAATAATTCATGGGTATTTTAATAAATTATTCAGCCAAATAATTTAGATGTACAATTCACCAACATGCATATGGCATTTCTTTTAGATCTGGATATATTTGCTTTGACAAATAACTTTATCTGGCATGTAGAAAATGCAATTTTCAGCACAACAAAAAATTAAAAAAATTTTACTTTTTCATGTGAATCTGTCACAGTCATCTGTATATGATTCATGTTCACATCAGGAGTGTTATGCTCTATTTTTTTTTTTTTAATGGGGCTAGCCTGACTCACTTGGTGTTCTATGAAATAATAATACATGTAATAATGTACAAGATAATACATGATCAAAGATACATAGAATATATACATATTATAAAAAAATAAATATTATAACAAATATGTAATTGTGTAATATTTTGTTTTAAAATGTATCATTAAAAACAGTACTAATATAATAACAAAAATAATAATAATGAATATATCAATATAACTATATTAGTTTGATATTTGTATATATGTGTGTGTAAAATGCTGTAAAATGAGGATGCTGTCAAAAACAATGTCATAAATAGATTTTCTTAATTAACTTCTATTAACTTAATTAAATCAACATTTGGTGTGATCATCCTTTGTGTTTAAAGCAGCTTTTGCCCTCGGTGCACTTGCACATAGTTTGTCAGGTAGCTTTGCAGGTAGGTTTCTTGAAGCATCTTGGAGACGTTGCCACAGTTCTTCTGGATTTAGTCTGTCTCAGTTTGTTCTGTTTCTTCTCATCATTCCAGACAGACTGGATGATGATCAGATCAGATCTCTGTGTGGAGCACACTGGCTGTTGTCAGACAAAAATCTCACTGGACTTGAATTATTACAATTAATGGCAAAATGAACGTTTTGAAATGTAAACTGATATTTCCTACTGACACACTACAGCAAAAGATATAAATAACTAACTTAAAACCATTTTAGCTGGTGAAAATACTAGTGTTCTAATAATTTTGGCCACTACTGTATATGTATTAACATTGCAATCCTATTGGCTCAGATTTAGATGTGGCATCTAAAATCATGCACAATTTACTAGATTAAGGGGGCGGCACATCTTACCCCACTCTCCACTACAAGTCAGATTCAACAGAAACATAACATAAGGCCTTTAATTCAGGAAAGTCTCTCCATCTGATTAGTTTGCAGGCCAGTGATTATCACTCTATCAGTTTCTCACTTCTGCTCTCTGCCATGTTTTGACAGCGAGTGTCTTGTTCTCAGTTTACTCCAGTGCTGCTCTGATAATTCTGCAGGACTGACATGTGCTCTCATGGACGTATGAGTGATGGTAACGTGAGAGCTTTAAACACCAGTTCCCTTTGCCCACTCAATGTAATCCTCCTCACCCAAACCCCCTTTCCCTCTCTGATTTGATGTGTTGATGTATGCTGGCTATATTTAGACGTATGTCTCAGTGGGGTAGGCTTAATAAGGGTCACGTCCAGCAGCGGATGGCTGAGATTCTTGTGGCACAACACAGAAAGAGGAGCCAGAGCAGGTATCTGGGCTGACGAGGGCTCAAAAATACACGACACGCAGAATTCATGATCATGTGACTAAACATGTTTGCAAAGCACATTATTTATAAATGAGATTTGTTGGTCTGAATTGAGAAACACATCTGTAAATAAGCGCAGAACCTTTCCTGAAGTCAATTACATATAACAGTGTCCATAAAAAAATACATTTAGTTTGCATGCATGTGAGAGTACACACCTTGATCATTATAATCAGGTGTATAAACAGGATTTTGAATATATTTTTCACTGTAAAAAGTATTTTTTCTTACAAATATCACACATTTATTAATCATAAATATGATTACGTTTTTGGGGAGTCACACCACATGACATTTGACCTGAGCTAAACTTGTCTGGACATTAAAAGGTTATCGGATATTTTAAGATTTATTGACTTAGTCATGAGGGTCTGCATATGAATGACATCATTTCGCTCAGGGTTCATGACTTTGATTTGACAGATATTTTAACATTATTTAAAATATAAATATTGGCAAACATTTTAAAAATATAAATAAGTAATGAAGCAGTTTTGTTAGATAATAGTAAAAAAATTATAATGATAGCCAAACTGCTTTTTATTTTCAAGAAATGTTTTTTTGTTTTTACATTTGTCTATATATTTTGTATTAATTTTTATTCTAGTTTTAGTTATTTAGTACATCAATTTAAAGTCAATGAAAATGACAAGTGTTTGCCTCAGCTATGATGATTGAATTTTAAACATTTTTTAAATATTTTATTTTCTTTCAGTTAAAATTATTTTATTTCAAGCAAGGGAACCCTGTTTATGGTTTAGGTTAACTATAATCCTCCTCCTGGATGGATAGATAGATAGATAGACAGATAGATAGATAGATAGATATGAAGAAATAAAAAAAGTGTATTCAAGCAATTGTATGTATAAACTGCATATATATATATATATGTTTTTTTTTATTTTTTATGATTTGACAGATATGAACAAAAAATTAGTGTTCTGTCATTTACCCACATGCATGATTGACAACTCACACAATTTGCTCTAAACGCTGAATAGTGATGTAAATTCACCTGTTCCTCTAAAACGAGATCTGCAAGACTTTAGGGGTCAGGCTAGCGGTCAGCAACCCTGACCCAGATACCGCCACGATTGAGAAACCAAACACTGTGTCATTGTTCAAAAAAAGAAGCCAACAACAATCAGCAATTGTGTCATGCAGCCTCTTACAAAATTATCCCACAGTCCACTCCCACACGTCACTGTGTGCATGGCACGTGCATACACCTTTCAAACTCACTCAACGCCCATCGAACTGCTTCAGACATCCATCAACCTTCCATGGGATGCCAAACTCATAATTCAGTCTTCCAGAGCTAGAGCTTAACATCTCAAAAAATTATATTTTACCCCAAAACAACCTCAAAACATATATTCGAACTGCTCTTCCTCATGAGGGTCTCCTGAAACCCTGATAAAATCAGACTATGCAGTGAAGGCGTGAACATGATACTAGCCGAGGCATGAAACCGTTCCTAAACCTCAGACCAACTGTTTTAAGGGAAACAGAAACAAACGCGTTCTTCTCTTTCATAACCACAGCTTGCTCCAGTGAGCATGTAAAACACACAGACGACCGTTCACGTGCACACACCAAGACTCAAACACACTAGAGGGTTAAACACACTTACACTCAAAAGCAGAGTGGACGCTTCTCAGGCAGGTTCCATTGTTGTTTTCTGAGATTTCTGCAGGGCCTGGTGGCTCAATAGCATAACAGCCCCCCTCCCCAGATGAGCGCACCGCTCGTCGTCCCCACGCCTAGTGCACTCTCACTGCCCGAGCAACAGCTGTGATGTCACAAAGGGGCGGCTGGCTAAAGCCAAACCACGTCTACCGGGCTACGCCATTGGCTGAGGCTGTATGCGCAGCTTTTGCTCCTCCCACAAGCTCTGCTGTGATTGGCCGTTCAGTGTTTTCTTCCCAAAGGCATGGATTGCCTCAGAGAGAAACAATTCCTACTGACAGATTGGGTGGGTTGGGAAAGGGAGAGGATTTGAGTTGAATGCCAGCTTTTTAGTTGCAAGCACTTTAGTGTGAGTGAAAGCTTATGATGAACAATGCACAATAACGACGAAAGGTTTGATAACACTTCGAGTTGTAGTGTGCCACAAAGGAAAGTGTTCAGTTCACTGTGCACCTGCTTCTAAAGGAAAAAGCTTCTAGGTGGATAAAGCTGCTACTTTTAAGTGAGTGAATCATTTTGAGTCAAAAAAGTGTGGGATGTTTCATTTCTGCAAGATTATTTACAGTGTATTCCCTTTATTGTTCAACTATTTTAACATGACAAAATCATCATAATGAATGTTAATCTTGGTTTAGCTTAGGACACTGCCATACTTTTGCTTGCTTGTGAACTGACTGACATATAAAGTCTTCAAATAATTGCTAGGTATGATGGTTATATAAGAGATTATGTCATTACATCTGGGTGGAGTGACTCCAGATTGTAGAATTATGAATTTCAATTTCAAGGCCTATACTTCTACCTAATACATATACTTTTGCATATTTATGAATGTAATTATTTATTTGTTTAAAAAGAGATTTAAAAATACATTGTGAGTGAATGACATTTTTAATCCATCAGCAGAGCGGCTGGAGATTAAATGGAAAACATAAATTGTCTGATTTCTCCCACGGTGGCTGGTTTTCAGCCCACACCTCTGACTGACGCCACTGCTCCAAACTTGCACCAACACAACAGGCACAACTGAAGCTGGACTTTTTAATTATGGAATTTTTTTGTATATGGGAGAATACATGCTGTAACTTGTGTAAAAGGGAAATGAAAGACCTGTCTGTATATTTGTGATCTTTGTAACAGAGTAGCTTTGTGGTTGATGATCTGGGCTGACATGATAAATATTGCTTCTAGGTAGAGGCACCCAGAACTTACTGGCCCTAAAAAGAAGTGGGAATTTTGTTTAACCAGATCATCAGAAACAGCCAATTGAAATCTTAAATGTATTTCCACTGCACTTACTAAGCAAGGCTAATATCATCTGTCAGGGTTTTGCACAGTCCAGTAGATCAGTAACTGGCTGTGCCTAGTTAGATAGTTAGTTACTTTGTTTCACACCTTTTTTTATTGTTTCCTTGGCTGAAAATTGGTCTTTGGTCTCGCTTACATACAACAATGACAGTACAATTCTTCACATATCAATACAATTCACAAATAAATAATAATTAATACATTCAAACAACCCTAAACAACAAATAAAACTAATAAAACACAAAAACACCGCGAGACACAGGGTCAGCATCAGACCGTGCCCCCGGAAGTTGGTCAAACAGCAAGGAACTGTGGGATAGCACTGTGGGAAAATTACATTCATGCAATGCCAATCATTCCAGTTAAATTCCATCAAATTCAGTCATTCCAGTTAATTGGAGAGATTAATTTCCAAATATTATCTTCACATATTTTCCATATATCATCTGTGCGATAACCAGACATATGGAGCGCTCCCATACAGCACAAACAGTGAAGCGTAATTAAAGTTTCCTGATGATCGCATTAATTAATCTTTACTTAAAGTGCAATAAGATGCTACGTCTAGTCCACTTGGCTCAGATGGAGTCCTCAGGCACCGTCCTGTTATTGTGTCCAGTTATGTAATACAGCATGTCACTGCAATTGCAGAGAGGAAGAGGTAATCATGCCGCAGGAAACATGACTCAACAGAATGCTGTCAGGATACCGCAGGGCAGAGAGAGAGAGTGGGATTCAACAGAAAGAGATAGATCTTGCTCTACCTATGTCACAGTCTTGTAGTGGTCATTACACAGATTTGGGATTTAGAGCTCCACTGTTTTAATTATTACATTCACAAGCTGGTGTCACCATAGAGGAATTTCTTTTGCTTTGTGGTTTCTCATTTATAGCTCAGGCTATAAAATATAGACACATATGCAGTTTTATTACCCTAGTTGTGCTCAGTTTTCTCTTAGATGTTTCTTCTTAGAGCTATTAAAAATGTATATGCAATTCACAGCGCAGATCATTTGGTTTAAGGACAACTTGATGCTTTTTCTTCAAACACTAGCAAGTGCCACTTATCTATTTTATTTATTTAGATAAAGTGGTGGCCAAAATAGTTAGAACACCTGACAGACCTTTTTTTGCCTCCAAAATATGATTTAATTTCATAATGTTCATAAAACATGCAGAAGGTTGCTCTGAGCATAAATACTAGATGGAGTGAGTTGTGCTGTTTTTATCCTGCCATTATAAAGCTTGAAAGAGCTTGGAATGTTTTTGAATGTGTCTATGATTGTATTTGTCAGAAAGAAGAAAGTCACATACATATAGGATGGCTTGAGGGTGAGTAAATCATGGGGTAATTTTCATTTTTGGGTGAACTATTTCTTTAATTAGAACTGGTCCTGACAGTAGACCATGAATAGTGCATTCACATGTCCTAATAATTTCTTACTATCTTTCTCTCTCTGTACTGTGGGAATATTTCTGGAGGGAATGCATGCATAGCTGGGTACATGAGACGGGTCAGAAATAATCTGATCCTTCAAATAACTAATGTTTTTTTTTTGAGTGTGTGTGTTTTCAGAGGAGATACTTAAGAACACTTACTGCCTTAAGCATATAAACAATACCAACAAACAGGTCAAAGACTTCTGCGTTTAATAAAGCACTTGCCATATGTAAAGTGGAGAGTTTTAACAAAGCTAATGCACATGTGCTTTTCACAGATGGGTGTGAGTAACCCTGCGGATCAGCCTCTGGCGTTTCAGTGGAAAAACTCACTTATACAGTATGTTTATCAGTTTAGGAGTATAAATTATGCAAAAGTGTCCTCATTCTGTGGTTCAGGACTGAACAAGTGTTCTCTGAATAGTGAGAGGACCAGACCCCTGAGATTTCAGAGGGGCTGCGGTTCTGGAGGGCTCTGACGCATCCATCAAAAAAACAAAAAACAGAGCAAACACAGAATAATAAAAAAACTGCCAAGGGCATTACAAGATATGTTCGATTAATATGCTGCATAATGTTAAATATTTTAAATATTAAATATTTTCTGTTCTCAAAGTTTAACATGCTGAGACGACTTTAAGTAAGCGAATTAATGTTTGTTTTCCTGAGGAGTGTGGCTGTGGTGCTTTCAAAAGCTTGGTACATCAATTTCTCCTCAAAATATTGGATGAGAAAAACAATTTGTAGTACAAAAATAAAACAATGCAAATATTACAAAAAACATTAAAAAGTGTATAAATCACAAATTTTTCTAAAGAAACACTGTACAACACCAGCAGGTAAAGTTACAGCTGGAGTCCGCGTCTTTCTCAGCTCCCCTGAGCACATTGAGTTTTAACAGCGTGCATTGGATATGACTGGATGGTGTATATGAAATACTGTGACCAGAATTTACAGAGCTTTGGTAAATGATGATCCAAAATAATCTGTTACAAATGTGGTTTCATGTTCAATTGATTTCATTTAGTATGCCTTTAGCTCAAACTGTAAAGCATGGCACTATCATGTTCGACTCCCAGGGAATGCATGAACTAATGAAATGTATACTTTGAATGCTTAAAAGCATATATGCCAAATCCATAAATGCATAAATCAGCAAAGCAGTTGTGCTCCCAAAATTTGATCATTTATTCAACATATCTCACCATCAGTATATTCCTGTTGTGTGTGGCAGCATTTTTCAAGCTCTCCTGACCATTCATTAATTCCTCCTTCCCCCATTTCTCTCTTGCTCTCTCTTTCTCAGAAACGCCTTCATAATCAAGGAACAACAGTCAATAGTATCTGTAACCAAGCCAAGAAAGACTAATTCTCCCTAAGACCCCTCACACTGACAGAAATAACACAACACTCTGATCTCTTGGGAATAATTCCGATTCAAAATAAACCCCAACAAGCCTGCGGAGAAGTAAGATGACTTCAGAATGCTTTAAACGATTGTTTTGTAGAGGATGTGCATGTTGTCATGCTCGTTTTATCGCATTACAGCACGCTTGATCACATCAAACACACACACACATAATGCAAACACATCCATGCACTGCTCAAGTGGCAATGCTGCTTCACATGAACGCTGACATTCACAGTCAGCTGTCTTCAAAAGGAAAGGTTCCCTGGTCTTCTTCAGGTATTTTTAAATCAAACAGTTTGTATCTGTCAGTGAGTTCAACATGTTAAGAGGTCCTGCACTGCTGTATAAAAACAGTTTCATTTTACTTACAAATGCAGCTAAATTTCCTGGCAAACTCACAATTTTGCAAGACATATTCAAATCAAAACATGTGTTTTTCACATCACACATCCTTCCATCCTAAGGCTAAAAAGACATTTTTTAGAACTAACAAGTTCAGACAGTGATCTCTTTTGTCCCTGTCAATCAAAGTATAGCTCAGAGAACGACGTCTGCATATAAACTGCTGTACATTTCTGTTTAAAGTCAGTGTGATCACGTAGGCATAATGTATGTCATTTATATTACGTTTTATATTAATTGTCACTCGAATAATAATGTGACTGAAGAAAAAAATAAAGCTAAAATAATATCTGCCACAATTAACTGAGACGGATTGTCAATAGACGTCAGGATGCACAATTGTTTCCCTTTTGAATAAGAACAAAGATAGTGTACATATTTTAGGTACAAGCAGACACAAGAATCAGCAAAGGCTTTTAAATAGAATCTGTTTGTATTATGATTATGAATGTCACATCAAACTAGCTGTGCAATTAAGTGCATTTATGAACTGGAATGCCCACTTGGGTGCCTATAAACCAGGTTGAATGAGCTAAACTGGTTCTGTTGACCATATTAACAACACCACAAACGTATCACACCCAGCAGACGAAACTCACATCACAAGTAAATTGCTCTCGCCCATACAAATGCACAAACAAAAACACAGAAGAATACCCTGAAGGGGATGGTTAGGTAGAGTAATGGCCACTCAGGAAGCCATAACTATCACAAAAAGGGTTGTATGTCACTGCAAGGCATTTAATGTGATCCTACAAGGGAAAGAGCACAAGAACACACACACACACACATACATGAACAATGGCCATGGATGGCAATTCACGTCACTACACTAAAGCAGAGACATCTGTCAGCTGAGCTCCATCTCACTGCCCTTCCACCCATCATAATCTCCAACCAAAGGATGTTAAAACGCCATTTGTGAGCATGACAATCCCTGTTTGACCTCTCAGCACCAAATCAAGGGACGTTTTACAGTCAAACCGAGTCTAAAATCACTCTGGAAAAGCATTTTATTTGGTTTTATAACAAAAAGCTTCAGAATTTTGGTCTACTGTGTTTGTATGGATCCAAAACTGATGGTTGTGTCAACAAAGACAAGATTTCTAGGCCATACTTGACTTTTACCTCTAAAGGAGATGTTGAATACACTGTCTAGTCTTATTTCGTTTTCTCAGGTGCCATTATGTCAATGCCAGCTGGACATTCCTGTGAGTTCTTCTTTCTAACAGGCTTCACTCTTCAACACACACGTACACATAATGGCATGCAAGTGCCATTTACTTGTTCATGTGCTTCTTACAGATTTTATTGGACCACAGAGTTGATACAGAGACGAGGTCCCACTTTATATTAGGTGCCCAATAGCAAACTGTGAATCTTAATGTTTGTGAAATTGTTATGTAAAAAGTGTGTCATATATTGAATGTTAATATCTAAGAAATGGCCAGTGTGAAAGCAATATCACAAATGAGATCTTTGTATCTCAGTTATTTCTCCTAGAAAGAAAGGAGATTACATGGAGAGCAAATGGAGACATTTGTTAAGGTCTAATTCATCTCAGATTTTTCTCCTGAAAGAATTCCTCTAGAGATTCTTAAATAAATAAATGATTTAAATGATATAATAATTGTATAGATCATTACTCTTATGTCATCTGTTGTCTCATTGGTAATTACAATGAAAACTATTAAAATCATTAAATATAAAATGCTAAAATAAAATAAAATTTGAATATATTATGAATTTTTTTAAATTAAATTTTTTATTATGAAAATTATAATAAAACAAGTTGAAGTACTACATTTATTAAATGTAACTAAAACGAACAGAAATATATATTTAAAAATAATTAAGCTACTATTAAAATGGAAACTGAAAATACAAAAAGCTAATTTAAAATATTAATAAATAAATACTATATTAATATGTGACCCTGTCTGTGAAATCCAGGCTAAAGTCTCAAAATCTAATTATGAGATAAGCATCAAATTTTGATTTCAACCATTAATTTCACTATGATTCCAATCTTTGACATGGCCTTACTCAGTCAATATTAAAGATATAAAGGTTATATTTTCACAGAATGTTCTACATCTTTATGAAGGATGGTGTGTGTGTGTGTGTGTGTGTGTGTGTGTGTGTGTGTGTTTGTGTTTGTGCATGCGTGTGTCAGAGATGCCCAGCTGACTGAACGGGAGAGGCCAGACACTGCAGTAAATTATTCATCACAGACAGTCCTTCTCAAAGCTGCGTGAACGACAGCGTCATTAAACCCACGAGATGGATGGAGAGGTTAACGAAGAGAATTAAAGCACAAAGGAGAAAGAATGAAGGATAAGGAGGGAGCTCTCTGAAGCCGTACTCACGTGTGAGTTCTCGCAGCTGACAGAAACAGAGAGAAAAAGATATGGAGAGGTCTCAGCGAAGCATCCAAGCACAGCCCCGTCCAGCCTTACAGCCCCTCATCCCAAAGAGGAAGATACAGCTAGATTAAAAGAGCAAATCCATAAAGCGGGAAAGACAAGCAGACAGGAGAGAAGCAGCAGCAGGGCGTGAGAAAGCGAGGGTCTATAATGTGTGTGTGAGAGAAGAGCGAGAGAGACTCTGATGAGGAAGGAAGGGAAGGGTAGATAGTGGAAGGGTATTGGCTGAAAGGAAGGGAGGTGGGGA